GTGTATAAGACCCTGCAATTGCTGGCTGTCACGATGTGCACACCTGTGAGGCTAGTGCTCTACAGCCTCAGGCAGAAGCGTCGGTGTGAGTCTGAGGGCAGAATGGGCTACAGAGTAAGAATGTCTTTTTAAAAAGTTGAAAACAAAAGTTTTAAAGAGGAAAAGAAAGATTATTTTGAGATACTGTCCAGGTAACACTAATGTTGGACTTTTCTTCCAGTCATAAACCACTGTAAATTTTTGAGAAAATATAAAATCATAGCATTGCCTAATGAAGGAGGTGCTTCAGTCAATGTTTGTGATATCAGTAGGTCAATAATTAGGTAAGCAGAATACCAAAGACATGAAATAAGAGAAAAAACTATCTAAAAACAAACAAAAATATTCATCAAGTTACTCTTGGTTGTTGGCTAGTTGCTAAGGCACGCAGGCAGATAGACACTGTGGGGACTTGGAAGACAATTGCTGTTAAAGACTGAGAACTGAATAAATATTCCACATGTTGCCAGACATAGAGGATTGTGTCCCTGGAAAGACCTGATGAAAACTATGCTGTTTAGTTGAAATGCCAGAAGGGCCCTGTACAGGAACTAACAACAAGGCCCTAAGAGTAAAGGCAAGATGACCATAGAACCATAGCAATGAGGTTCTAAAATGAGTCTAAAAAAGCCAAGACAACCAACTGTCTTAACTGCTTGCTAGAACAAATTTCCAAACCCTGTTGAGGCTGAGAAGTTAATCTAAACCCTGTTTAGAGTCTGAACTGCAAGGTAAAAGTACAAAACAAGACTTTCTAAAGTGCTATTAAGAAGAATAAACATTCACATAGTTGATAGGTGCAGATACTGAGATGATTTGCATGTTGATGTTAACATAAAAAGAAACAAACAAAAACAACAACCACAAACAACAATTAAAGACTCATATGGGGTGGGGACATGAGGGGGTTGTCTTAGGCTGGCTTCAAACTCTGGACTTCTACCCCTTGGGTGTTAGGGTTCCAGGTGTATACTACTGCTACTCATTTTATTGCATGAGTTTTAGAAGGTACATTAAATAACTGAACAATGGACTCAACACTGAGTTCAAGATAGTAAAACAAGATCAGATCTGTAGGAAGCACCCAGAGTAGCTATGTTAGTTCTACTTGGTAAGCAGAAATGGGAATTCAAAGTTGAGCTAGCCTTAACTATACCACAAGATCTTGTCCAAAAACAGAAGGAAGTTGGAGGAAAAAAGAAATAGGAAAGGTTTCTTGCCTCCCACTCCCAAGCACATAGAGAGAAAAAGGAAATGTATTGAGAATTATTGAAAGATCTAAAGATGCATTTTATTCACCTAGCAAACCTGAGTGAACAACAGGAAGTTGATAATGTATGTAACATGTTGAACACCAGTTCAGCATAGCATGCTGTTGGCTCTTGATATACTGTGTCTTGTATCGCCATTGTCACTGCTGCCCAACATCACAAGAGGACCATGTCACATATGACTACCCCTCAAAAAGATCAAGATTTCACTATGGTTCCTACTGAGTGCATCATAGAAAAAAAACAAAAACAAAACAAAACAAAAAAAAAACCCATGCAACTAACTGAGTCCAGGTGGACCTGTCTACTCAGTGTTTCAGGGGAGAAAAAAGAGATAGCAGTAAAATGTATCATTTAAGGAAGTGGTACTCAACGTACTTCCACACCAGAGAAGATACCTCACTCCAGATTGTGCAAGCTCATAGAGACATGTATAGTACATTGAAAGAACACTTTTTGGAGGTAAATAATGTAGAGGTTGCTGATGTTAAATGTAGAGAAAAAGAAATCTTAATGGAGTTGGGAAGTAGCTCAGTTGGTAGGATAGTTACCTAGCGTGCATCAAGCCCTGGGTTCATTCCTGGCACTGACTAAAGTGCTTGTGGTATATTACATGCCTTTAATTCTCATACTTCAGCAGTAGAGACATGAGGAGTTCAGGAGCACTCCTCAGCTTAATAGCTAGTTTGAGGTCAGCCTAGTCTACATGAAACCCTGTGTTTAAAAGATAAGAAGAATCTTTTAAAAGGTGGTAGAGAACAAAGTCACATTGAGAGGATAGTAAGAATTATAGCGGAATTCTTATAGTGTGATGGAACCAGAGGACAATAGATGAAACTTTAGAAGAAAAATAAGATTATCCCTTTATAATTATCAGTATTTACTTAGCATATGTATATTACAGGAAAAAAAAGATGAGATGCCCATTGCTAACCATGACACAGTAACTAGTACCAGCCTTGGCTTCAGGTTCTGGACAAATGCTTACTACTGGTAGACAGCCAGCAGTGCAAGGGTAGTGCTCCCAGAGAAGGAAGATAATCAGAACCCCACAATCTCATGGTGGAGAACCTGAAGAATGCCAAAACTGTTGCCCTAGGAAGACCTTAGCCAGCACTTAGAGTCACAAAGTGACTCCTGTGTTCCTGGAAGTGGTTGGGTGTTGAAGAAGCCATCTTGAGGAATACAGTAAGAAATGGGCCTTGGAATTCCTGGGAAGTTAAGGCTAATTTTTCCACATGTGAAGTAGAATATATGAGAACAGGCAAATTAATAATAATAATAATAATAATAATAATAATAATAATAATAATAATAGACAGAAACTTGCCAATGTGCAGAGGGTGAAGAGTTACCAGGACTCGCACAAAGAGGAGGGGGGATGTTCAGGATCCATTTCCCCCAAAACCTTCAGTGAATACACCGAAAGAGTAGCAAGTCAGGGCCCACGTTAAGCATTGGCCTAAGGTGTCTCTATACAAGAGATGCTTCCAACCTCCACATTCATATACTGGGGAAAAGAGGGGGGTGATAACTTCTTGTTTAAGGAGGAAGAGAACTTAAAGGTATAATCCAAAAGAATCACATCCATGACAGGCTATGTTAGAGTACTTACTAAGGGTGATGTGATTTAGGGATGGCCATAGGTTGTCATACAGAACAGCCTGTTGTTTCTGGTTGTGTACCAGTCACCATAGCATTTCTTTTTCCTTTTCTTTTTCTTTTTTTCCTCTTTGTGGTGCTGGACTTGGATCCTAAGGCTGCAGGTACCATTAAGCAAGCGGAGCCACACCCCAGCCCCTCAGAACAGTATTTATGGAGTACAAAAGTGTAATGGCCACTTCTGATGCAAAGTAGGACAGCAACTAATGATGTCTTCCAGGAGCATAGGTTGTGTTTTTAATAGTACTGAATTTGTAAGTGCTTTGAATGCTTTCATAAAGATAGTTAAATATTAATTTTAAATCTTTTTTGGTTTTTCAAGATAGGGTTTCTCTGTGTAGCCTTGGCTGTCCTGGACAGCTAAGACACTTTGTAGACCAGGCTGGCCTCACTTACATCCCTTAGTGCTGGGGTTACAGGCATGTGCCGCCACACCCAGATCTTAACTCTGTTTTTAAAATTATCTTAGAAGTTATTTGTAAATCTCAGTCTTTTCTACGAAAACAAAATTCACACTTTTAATTACATCTTGGAGGCCATTTTTCTTTTGAGTTTACAGACAAGTCATAAAGCAGTAAATACTGGCTTATAAAAATGAATTTTATTTGCCTTGTTCAGTTGTTGTCTGCAAGGTCTTCTGCCTCCTTCTGCTGACCTAGGCCTAGTCCTGGAAGCTTCTGGCCTCTATACAGTCTAACCTAGGCCCAGTACATTTTTAGCATCTGAGACTTAAATTCTCCCTTTTTTGTTCTTATTGAGCTCTGAACTGTGTTCAAATCAGCTGTTCTGGCTCAAACTCCTCTTTGAGCTGACTTATTCATTCTGGCTTTTCTCTTGGCCCCTGAATTGCCCTGCTTGGCCTCAAACTAACTCCAGCATTTTATTTTCTAATCTTCTGGCTCCTTTTCATTCTCTGGTTCGTTCTGTCTTCACCTGTGCTCTTTCTCTGCAGCCTGCCTCTCCATTACTGTCCCAGTGAAACTGCCTCTTCTCACTCGGAATTGTCCCTTCAGTAGCTTCTCTGTGCTCTCTCTTCTCATGAGAATTGGGAGTACCCTATTCTGTCAAATCTGCTCTGTTTTGTCACCTTTTCTGCCACCCAATTAGACATCACTTTCAAACATGGGTGCTTCCTTCTACAAACTACCTTTACCTTCATTGCTTGAGAGTAAAGCTTGCACCACGCTTATACCTAAGCTTTTCTTTACTTGCTCTACACCAGGCTGGCCTTGAACTCAGATCTGCTTGCCTCTGTCTCCTGGATTAAAGGCGTGTTTGAATTCAGCCAGATCACACAGACCTAGAAGATCTTTGGATGTAATCTCTTGCCAGCCAAATCATACAGACCTAGCAGGTCTTTAGATGTGATTTCTTGCCAGAACAGCCATGTTCTGAATTAATATTCCTCTGCACTGGCTTATATCTAGAGACCTTTCTTTGCTAGAATCTGTAAGGAATTTTTGAAGAGACTTTTTATGTTTATTCTCTCTGTGATATTCTTTCTCAAATTTACTTACCAGTTTTGAATATTGCTTCTTTACTGTTAATTTTTAAAATATGCTTCTTGGTCTTATAGTTGGGTTGTATGAATATAGCTTACTGTTAATTACTGTGACTGGTGGGATGGAGCCAGTATTTAAAATAATTGCAATTGATACATGTTTAATTCCAAGGCTATTAGATATATGAGTATCATAATAGGAAGAACCTTAAATAAATTATTGATTGAAGAGTAGAATAAATCCCTTAAACTTTCATATCCAGTAATGCCCATAGTCCATTGAGTGCTTTCTTAGAATGCACAAAGACTCAGCTTGACCCCAGCGCCACATAACTGAGGGCATGGTAGTGCTCACCTACAACCCCAACACAGTAAGGTCAGAAATTCAAGGTCCCCTTAGCTGCATAGCAAGTTTGAAACCATCCTGGAATATCTGAGATTCTGTCTTTAATAAAAAATAGTTTAGATGGCATTTCATTTTAATCCACTAACTTTTTGACTTACTTTTTGACTTGTTTGTATTTCAGGGAAAGGTGGCCCAGACAGCCTGTATGTCAGCTTGTAAACATTTAGCCACCTCCTTGATGCAACTTTTGCTAGAAGCAGAAGTAAGGCAGCTCACTTTGGGAGCATTACAGCAGTTCAACCTGGACGTCAGAGAGTGTGAACGTAAGTCAATGCGTCGTCGTTGCGTGTTGTTGTCACTGATGTGAAAGAAAAACCATCCATGTTCCTCATGGTGTCAAAGCTCTGCATAGTAAAGGTGTCTTACAGGATGTTTTGCTTAATTTTTATGTTTTCTATTGGCTCTTTAAAATATGTTTTAATTGAAATATAATCATATCTTTTCTCTCCTCCCTTTTCTTCATTCAGCCCATCCCAGCTACCTACCATTTAACTTTCCATGACCTCTGCAGCATACAAGTTTATGTTTTTTTATAAGTTTTTTATATTTTTATAAGTTTTTCTTTATTTATTATTATTACATACCAAGTTGTTTGTGTGTGTGTGTGTGTGTGTGTGTGTGTGTGTGTGCGTGTAATATGTATATACAAACAGTATGTTTTTGTTGGTGGTATTTATATGGTTTCACTTCCCACACTACGGGTCAACCAATAAGGGAGCTCTTCCCCAGGAGAAGCTGACTCTTTCCCAATAATGACTAGTTGCTTTATTTCATTGTAGAGGAGTATGCCTCTGTAAGATGCTCGTTGTTCATTGCTAACATGGTCATTTGGCATTGGCATTGTTTTGTTCTTGTTTATGCACTTATCTTTTTTGTTGTTGTTTTTCTTTTCTGACTCTCTTTGAAGACCAGGCTGGCCTTGAACTCAGAGAGATCTGCCTGCCTTTGTGTCCCTGAGAGCTGGGATTACAAGCATGCACTACCGCATCCTGCTCCATGCAGCTATCTTTAGGAGACATTTTCACAACAGACTCCCCCTAGTGCTCTGTCTGTCACAATCTTTCCGTCTCTTCTTCTCCACATCCCATGAGCCGTAGATTCATAAGCAGTATAGTAGGTGTGTCCCTTTACACTGGGTGTCCCCAGATCTGTTGATCTCTGCATTATATACAGTTGTGGCTTTTTTCGATGGTCTCCATTTGCTGTAAAGAAGAGGCTTCTTTGATGAGAGATGGTAGATAGATTGTTCTGTGGGTATAAGGATAAGATTTATAATGTAGTGCAAGATTATGCTGGTCTACCAAAGAAATTACAGGAAATTCTTTTCTAAGGTCATTGAGCTCACCGGCCCTAGGAAGCTGGTGAGGTTTCTAGTATCAGGCATGATTTCCCTTCTGTTGAGTGGGCCTTAATTCCAGTTAGACAGCTTTTGGTTGCCACATCTTGTCCTGCTGGTAACTGCAGTAGTTCATGGGTGTTGGAGCTGGGTTGGACTGTTTAATTGCATCCCTCCCTTGCCACTTACACTAACTGCCCAGTTTGTTTCCTTTGGTGATCTTTTAAATGATATTCACAGGGGTTTCTATTTCTAGCCATCATAAACCTCTGAAAATTCAGGGAACTGTGTGAAACAGCTATGTCCATGAGCTGAACAATAGAATACAGGCTGTAGTCTTTCAGAGAGTAGCATCACAGAAGCTGCTGTGTTTCCCTTGGCTTCTTCCATCTGTAAATACTGCTTAACAGTAACACAACAGCACTCTCACCAGTAAAAATAAAAATACAAATGCCAACAGATGAGGGGGAGAGCTAGTGAGGCAGCTGGGATGTGAGAGGAGAGGATCTGAAAATCTGCAGTGGGGCACCAGTGGGGCCTTTGGTCACCAGCAGGCTGGCAGATGCAGGGGCCCTGTGATGCTTGTCAGACACCACGGCAGCCGCTGCGATCTGTGAGGGGCCTCGGGACCCAGGGACCGTAAGGCGACAGCTGCCGAGTAAAACATGCTGTGTGCCAGTTAGACCACGGCTTGGTGCGGTTCGGGCTCCACGGAAACTGCCAGCATGTTTCTTGGTGGCACATAATTGTCATCAGAGCATGTTTTGAAGTATGGTGTGTGTGTGTGTGTGTGTGTGTGTGTGTGTGCTTGTGTGTGTGTTGTAGAATAGCTAAATTGAACTGATAGGTTGTATATTATTCCACACCTTTTTACACTTTCTATCTCCACTCAGAATTTTTCTGGACTGTAACAAACCTACTCCTTCAGTCACCATGTTGTGCCATGAATATCTTCAACTTGCAGCCATCAAACTAAAATTTTTAATCCTGTGATCTATACTTCTCCAGTACCCTCTCTCTCCTCGCCACCATCCTTTGCCTTCTTCATTCTTCACTTTTGATTTTCCTTTTCCAGATTCACACTCAAGTGAAATTGTGCAGTATTTGTCTTTCTGTGCTCTGTTTATTTCGCTTACCGTAATGGCCTCCAGAATTTCCTTCTTGTCATGAATGGCATGTGTCTTTCTGTGTAAAGACCGTGTAACGCTCACTGTGTATGGAGCCGCCGTTTCTTATCTACTCACTCAGTGATGACAGAGCCTGAGTTCATGTCCTAGCTGTTGTCCACTGTGGAAAACACTTGGTAAAGATTTTATTTTATCTGGAGCAGATCAACTACCGCATAGGAATTCACATTCTTCCAGAATGTAGACATTAATGCTATGCTTGCATGTATATGTATGTACCATGTGCATGCCTGGTACCCACCGGGGCCGGAAGAGGACATTGGATCTCCTAGAACTGAAGTTATAAATGGTTTGAGCCACTATGTGGGTGCCGGAAATTAAACTTAGGTCCTCCAGAAGGGCACCCAGTCTAACTCGAGCTGGCCCTCTGTTGTCTGTGTGATAATAGCTAGTTCCACAGATGTGCAGTGGTGTTCCATTTTGACCAGTTTTGTATACCCATTAGCCATTTATCACCTGTTTGAGAAATGTCGATTCATATCCTTTGTCCATTAAAACAAAACAAAACCCCCTCAATGTCTCCTTGTTACAGAGTTATTTGAGTTTCTTGCCTATTTTTAAAACTAACCCAGGGGCAGTCTTGCCCCACCCTAATTAAGCCTAGCAGCAAGACTTGATGAAATAAAAGTACTCTGCAAGTAAAATAAACATTCTCTGGGAATCTTGGGCTTTTTTTGAAGGGCACATAACATACTTTCAAACATGTATCATCCACAATTTTATAGCAAAAAAGCCCCCCACAAAAAAACAAACAAAATAACCCACATGGAAGGAACTGCAAAATATGACATACAGCATAATTTGAAGTAGGCAGAAAGTATTAGTGAGCCTACTAATGAAATAGATGTGGAAATGTGTTATAATAGCTCTTGAAAATGCCGTATATTTATGTAATAATTATGATTTGATTTTATTTTCTTTCCTTTAAAGTAATCTAATTTGCTGTTATTTTAAAAGTAAGGTAAAATTTTAGATGCTTTAATACATTTCAGTAATTTTTAAAATGAGCTGTTATAATTCTAGCTACCAGAAGGTAAGAGGCAGGAGCATCATAAGTTTAAGTTCAGCCTGCGCTGGGCTCCTTAGTGAACTCCAGGGAAATCTGATCTGTGTAGGAAAAACTTGTCACAAATAGTAGTAAAGGCTATAATGCATGGCTGACAGATCATTTTTCCACCTTCGGAAAAGGTGCTGACCTTTTTTTTTTTTTTTTTTTTTTTTTTTTTCAAGAAACTTAAAAAAATCAGCCAAAGTGGGGGAAAAGGCATGAGTTATTTTGAACTTAGCAACATGCAAATCAGAACACTGTGCAGTGACATTTTCAAAGTGCTAAAAGAAAAAAAAAAAAGGAACCTGTCAACCTATGTAAAACTCTTGAGTCTTTCAGAAAATATACCTGAAAAAATGAAAACTAAATAAAAGTATTTCAAATACACAGAAACTCAAAGAACCTGTAGTGAGATTCATGCCACAACAGATGTAGAAAGTAGTTTTTCAGATTTGAGGGAAATGATGCCTGTATCACACACTCCTATAGTATACACTCACTGTTCAGGGTATCCCCAGCAGTGTTTCTGCCATACCTTTTCCCAGAGTTTTGAGGCTGTGTCACTGAGAGATGACAGTTTCTCCCTGTTGAGTCTAGTCAGGTTTCTGACTTGATTGTGATGAACAGACTATGGAAGCAACAGCCTTTCCTGACTTGTGAGACTAGACTGGGAGAGAAGACATAACATCCCCGTGCTCAGTGAAATGCTGCTTGTAGAGTCCAAGGACTCCGTAATATAAGGAAGCCAAAACCAGCTCATATAGAGGTACCACACAGAGAAGGCCTGAGTGTGTGTGGGTGCAGAGAGAGTGAACCTTTTTCAGCTGTCTCATTTATTGATGATTTTGCTTACCTTTAAGTTTAGCTAATTTGCTGTTATTTTAAAAATAAGATAGAAATTTAGATTATTTTAAGATCTTTTTTCTTTTCCAGTATGAACATTTTAATATTAAGAATTACTTTTGTGGTGGTTTGAATGAAAATGGCCCCCATAGGCTCATAGGCTATAATACTACTATTGGGAAGTGTGGCCTTGTTGGAGGAAGTGTGTCACTGGGGTGGACTTTGAGGTATCAGATGCTCAAGCCAGGCCCAGTGTCACTCTCTCTTCCTGCTGCCTGCCAATCCAGATATAGAACTCTCAAATCCTTCTCCAACACCATGTCTGCCTGCACACTGCCATGCTCCCTGCCATCATGACAATGGGCTCAACCTCTGAACTGTAAGCCATCCCCAAATCATATGTTTTTCTTTATAAGGGTTGCTGTGGTCATGGTGTCTATTCATAGCAATGAAACCTTGACTAAGACAACTCTTAAGTTTGGGTCAGCTATATATTTTGTTCTATATATTTTTGTTCTAAATATTTTGTTATATCAGTTTTTTCTTTGATTTGATTGATGTTTAAAACAGTTTCTCCCCCATGTAGTAGTTCAAGCTGGGGCTCGACTAGTTGTTTTCCCACACTTTACATTTCCTTTATCTTCTTTGACATATGGAACATCTGTGATTTTTTTTTTTTTTTTTTTTTTTGGTTGGTTGGTTGGTTTGGTTTGGTTCGGTTTTGGATTTTTGAGACGGGGTTTCTCTGTGTAGCCTTGGCTGTCCTTGAACTCACAGAGATCTGGCTCTCTGCCTCCCTGAGTAGTAGGATTACATGTGTGCACCTGGTGACATTTGGAACATTTTAAT